GATCAAGCTATTTTTCAAACACTGATATTTCTACTTTATACTTGATTTTAAGAGAAAAATGAAGAGTATATAGTGTGTTTAAGAAAGAAATGATAATGTAATAATAGTTCAGAGATTGAGCTAAGATATCTTTTTATTGTTTTCTTGATAATAAAGATTGAGTGATACAAGAAGAGACTTGACACAGACATGAGAAAAAACAAAACATGATCAGAATTTTCTTAAATATTAAGACAGTGTTTATACAATAAACAACAATCAGAGAGTATTTAAATTTAAGTCAGTTGTAATAACAGATTAAATACTGTTCTTATTTAATTTTAAAGTGATTTGCACTAGAACTGATGAAGATCTGATAAAAAACATGTTTTTCTTTTCACTTAGAAGCTTTAAACATGTTTTCTGTAATAACTTCTTTAAATCTTGATTAAATCTTTTCAAATTTGAATGATGAGCTGTTCTGGTCTATGGCTTCAATCTGAATATCTTTTTGTTTTTGGATTCGAAGAATTGGGCTTGTTCTGAAAGAGTCGGTTTTTTTGCTACTGAAGTAGTGCTTGATCAGCAACTCTTATATAGATGTGCTAGCATAGATAATTATAGATACAATGTCGAGTTGACCTCTTGAATGAATGTGAGTTAGTACGTGGCGGCGGCATTTCATATATGCCCGTGCCACGGTTCGAATCCGCCTGCCCGAATTAGGGTAGCTCCGTTCGTGCGCTGTTACATTATCATCATTAAATGTTGTAAATGAGTCTTTTATAATGTTAAAATATTAAAAGACTGAATAAGAAAGAAAGAACTGTGAAGCTTACAATTAAAATTTAATAGATAAAGTGTAAGATAAAGAACTATACTTATCATTTCTAACAAAAGACAGAACATACTCTTCACTGTTAATTTAATTTAATATGTTCTCTGTCTAGATTACAAGATCCGCTAGCTTAAAGTTTTCTTAAACAATTTTAATGAATTTATAATGTATAAAGAAGAAGCTGCAATGAAAGAGTGCATTAATATTATATAAACAGCTTAGTTTGTTTTAATGATTTAAAAGAACAAGAGCTGTGCTTGACTGCAGTACATGAAGTTTTTATAGTATATTTAAAATGTACTAACACTGTTTCATGACATAATGTTCATTGAGAATGTCTTAAGAGATAAAATCTCTTTATGTAAGTGTTAAAGATAATAAAAGAAAAGAAGAAGAAGATGAATGATATGTAACTGAATTAATTTTCTTCTTGATCTGCAAGAAAGAGAATGACAGCATTTTTAATGTTTTAAAAAGAGATAACATAATAAAGAAAGTTTTTAACAAGACTTTATTAAGTAACACTGTTTCATTATTTATAAAAGTTTTAAAAGAAGATGCAATAGTTAACATTAATCAAGTTTTAAAGTATTTTTTAACATTTACAAGCTTAGTCACTGCGTTGCTAGTAAATATACTATATAAGATGTCAATTAAAATTAACTTCTTAATAACATAAAGATAGATTATTAAATAAAAGACATTTATTAATAAAATCTATGTTTATTAATAAAATAGAACTCTGCAAGCTGTGATGTGAGACAAGACTAACAGCTTACTTTTACTAATTTTTTTAACAAAAGTCATAAAATCTTTTATAAAAGTTAAAGAAGCTTCATTGATGTTAATGATTAACAGAACTACTTCTTAATAAAATTCAAGAATCTTTTTTAAAGAGATTAATTTAAATTTAAATAAAATGAGAAGTTAATGATTATTTTAAAACATGAGTTAGTGATTAATCTACTGTAAGAAGAAGTAAAATTGATCATGTAACATAGTCTGATATTAATATAACAACATAATGACAAAGCAGTAAACTATTTAATACAAGAAAGAAAAGATTTAAGATAATATAACACAAGAGAAAAAGACAGAAGAAGAGCGAGTAAAAATCTTCAGTAAAAAGCAAGTATAAATGTGTAGAAAAGAAAGAAGAGAAGTAAGAGACATTTGTAAGAATTTATAGTCTATTATAAGACACAATAGATGTTCTATAAAAGTCAGTGAGTTGATTATTATAATAAATAAAACGTAATGACATGAACATTTTATAAAATTTAATAAATGATCAAGAAAAACAATGAACATAAAATATAAAAGAACACAGTTTAAGACAATAAATATAATTAGATAAATAATGCTTAGACAGATAAGTAATTCATTTATTAATTATACAGTATTAATAAAATTAAAGATGATATATAGAGCTATTTCTTTAAAGAACACTTTTATTACTTTAAGACAAAAGTAAAGAGTATTTAAAGAAAGTTATTAATCATATTCTTGAGCCAGCGTGGCGCAGTTGGTAAGACTGTTAACCAGGGCGGCACATAGGGGTGTTGCGGGTTCGAATCCCGCCGCTGGCACATTCCACTTCTTACCCACGAAGG